AAGGATTATATTTATTCACAAGAAAAATGAACTCGCTTTTTTTACTTATTAAGCTTTGACAATTCCATTGCATAATATTAGCTTGATTGTCCATTTTGTAAGCCTTCGATCAAAGTTGAAATTAAAGAAACTGCGTTGGACGGTAAATGAAGGGCTGAAGAAGAATTTGTGTTAAAATGAGTAAGTAATGATATTAATAATTTAATTAAATCTGTGATGGATATCTGAGTTTTATTTTCATCTTGAAGTTTATTATTGAATACACACCCATCTGCAGGAATAGGACTATCGAATTCCTTTATAAGAGCCTTGTGAGCTTCAATATCATAACCCGGTGTTAGTCTAGGTGGAGTGCGAGGTTTAAGAAATACTGTCTTTTTATATGAAGAAGTAGGAGAATTACTTTTATGGTCTACATTTGATGTTGAATTTTTATATAAAGGAGTTTTAAAAGAATTAGTGGAGACAACATTGGAATATGATTTTGAAACTTTAGGAAAAGATTTTGATGCTTCTACATAGGATGTGCAATTATTTGCCATATAGACCTTAATTTCTTTTTGTCGAATATACTCTGGACAAGATTTGTTTGTAGCAAAATGGGATCCTTCACATAAGCAGCAAAAAACATTACTGTCTTCCTCTGTTTCACAAGAATCACCCGAATGATTTCCCCCACACTTAAAGCATCGGGGTTTAGACCTACACTGGTTTTTAGTATGGCCAAAGCGACAACAATAGTAACATTGTATTGTTGGATAAATGTACAGATCTACTGGCAAAGCATTGAAACACATGAAGACACGTTTGGGTAAAATTTGCCCATCGAAAGTAATTACAACTGATTGTGTGGGCTTCCATATAACCGAACCTCCTTGGGAAACTTTATAATTGATACGTCTTACTTTAATTATCTTGCCACATCCCATTGGGACAGTAATATTTTCGAGAACTTCTTCGGGTGTCCATTCTGAAGGGACACCTCGTACAAGACCCATTCTAGTGACATTGAAAGTAGGTATAAAAGCTTTCATTTTATTAAATTCTAGTTTTTTGTTAGTGATGAAAGAATTTGCAGACATATAATCAGAAAAAGCTAGTGAGACTTTATTGCGGCCAATAAGTTTTACACTACCGTTGACAATATTTTCAAATTGGTTATTTTTTAAAAACCTTCCAAAAGTAACAGGATGAATTGAAGTATTATCATGAAGGTCAGTTTGTATTTTTTGCACATGAACAGTAAATGGGGAAATATCATTTTTATTGTAAAGAACGCGGCCAATTGGTGTTGGTGTGACTGTGGGCTCTGTAGTAGCAGATGATGGAATAGAGACATTAAAATCTTTGTCAACTGATTGTGTCTTTTTCTTAGTTACATTTGAAGTAGACTCTTTTCTTGGTGAAAGATCAAAACAATTGCAATCATTTTTTGAGTCAGAACTATGATTACGGCGACGTTTTTTATTGCAGTGCTTACATACATGCACGCGACTCCGTTTGAGTGATCGTCCTGATAATGAACCGTCGGTTTCCATTCCAGATTCATTAGAAACGGTAACAAATAGTCCAGCCGGGGGAACATAGTCCCCCGGCGGTTCTATGTCCGGAGGCTCGTTCATAAAATAAAACGTAAAAACTTACCAATAAACTGCTATAATACACTACAAACTAATACTAAATAAATTTAAAAGTAACTAAGATGAAAATATACAAATCTGATCACCAATACTTAATAAAATTAAATTAAATTCTTTTCAAACTCGAAAAACGCGCCCACCAAGTTCGACGTTTCCCGCCTTTTTTTTTTTCGTTCCAGTTTTTACAATTTCGGTATGGAATCTTAACAAAGAACAAGGGATCTTGTAGGACAGCCGTAATAATCAAAGTGCTTTTCGGGCATGATTATAAATCTACGAATTCTTATAAGAATGAAGAATATTAATAAAATAACGCCGTAATCTTCGAAAATACTGATCCGATCATAAATTCTCCTGCGGGAAGCTACATCATACGCAGGTGATATAGGATATAATTAATGGCTAGAGGAAAACAGATTGTAAATTTAATATACCGGAAAATCTTTTGTTTTTTTTCATGCGCGTACGTAAGAAAAATAACTTCCAAATAAACTGTAATAAAATTAAGAAGACTAGAACCCGTACGAATTACCGTGACACCTGCTGACTATTCGTCCTACAAAGTAAATTCGGAAAATTTTGTACCGTTCTTATAATATTGTTGAAATCATGAAAATTATCTTGGTCATCTGTTCATCAGAGCAATTTCGAAAAAAATGACGAATTTCCAAACGAAAATTCATAAAATTTTCCCGATAGCGAAAAGTAACAAAGTTACCTCTAAAATTAACCTTGTAACGGTGCGTCGTACCACACCGTTTATTTTGTCCTAGGTATCCTCATCCAAATTTTTTGTCTTTGATCTTTAATATCATTTCTTTTTTATTATTCATTTTTCGTAATTTGAAATATGCTCTTTCTGAATGTCAGTTCGTAAAAAATCACCCAACGTAAATATGTTACGTAATTTAATCTTATAAATCAGTAAATAACAACGTAAACGTAAGTATATCTACAAAGTATTTACTAAGTTCTATCTATTATAAAACCCAGGAAAGGTGTATGTAATTGTTTCACTAACTTATACTACTTATAATAGGTCTAATGAAATTGCCGTTCTACCGTACTGGCCATTTCAAATCATAATACTTTTTTTTGGCTGATAATTCTAATTTCAAATTAATTTTATTTTAATAACATGGAATTCTTTTTTGTAAAATCGTTATTTGATAGTGTTTTGTATTCAACGCATTCGAACATTTTTCGTCGTCATGGATAAGTAAAAAATTTGAGTAATTATGGAGTATGAGTACCGTCGTGGCAGCAAAGCAGTACAAGCGGCACGCAACATCAACGACGTTTACGGAGTGAACTCTACCAACGAACGCACCACCCGTTGTTGGTTTGCCCACTTCCGTTTTGGAAATTTTGACCAAAAGAATGAACCCCGATGTCGTCCGAAAACTTTTGTCGACAATGACAAATTAAAGGCCATTGTGGACGCTGAATCAAATCAAATCAAATCAAATCAAATTCTTTATTGGCCTTGTAACAGAGAATGTTTCACTAGGTAAGTCATTAATATACATTTATTGTCATTTAAGAATATGATATAAACTGTTATAATGTCATGATTATTAATAAATATAAAATAAATTATTTCAAATATAAGTATGTGTAGAATTTCAATAATAATATTAAAAAAAAACATGATTAAAATAAATTGGCATTAAATTATTAATTCAATCGGATATTATTTCTAACGTTACTATCATTTAAAATCTACGAAAATGAGGATTCAGTCAATGGCATATTAATAAATTCTGTAAGTGTATAAAAGGCATTTTTTTCAAAGAACATTTTAATTTTTCTTTTAAACTTATTAATCTCTAAATTCATTATTGAAATTGGTAGTTTATTGTACATAAGTAATTTATTGTATTTTCCTTGTTTTTGTACTTTGGTGAGTCGCACCTTAGGTAATATCAATTTGTGTTTGTTTCTAAGGTTATATTTGTGTATATCCATGCTTTTGACATAGCTTTCCCTATTTTCATGAATTTCTAATAAGCATTTATATATGTACAATGATATTACAGTCATGATTTTATATTTCACAAAATGCTTCCTTGCTGATTCCCTTCTTTTAATTCCAGCTAAAATTCTTATTGCTCTTTTTTGTGCTATGAGTACTCTTTTAGCATTAACGCTGTTTGCCCATACTGTTATGCTATAACTAATTAGAGAATGCACATACGCGTAATAAATCGTTATCATAGTTTGACTGTCAGTAAGCGGTTTAAATTTTAAAAGAGCATAGTTTGCACTTGCTAGCCTTTTGCATAATCTTTCAATGTGAGGAAAATGGTTCAAAGTATAATCAATTATATGACCCAAAAATAAATGTTCTTGCTTAACGTCATTTTTATGTACACGTGATTTATGTTTAATTATAATACTTTTATGTGTATTTAGCACAATACCATTAGCCAGAAACCAGTCTTTCAAGTTTTGTAACACTTCGGTAATCCTTTCATCTAATGCGTACTGTATATCTTTTTTTACTCCAACAAAAGTGTCATCTGCAAATAGATTTACGAAAGCCCAATCGGGTAGATTACTGGTAAGATCATTTATATATACAAGGAATAAAACAGGGCCTAACATTGAACCCTGCGGTATACCTATAGTCAGATCAGCACTGTCCGAGTAGATGAAACTCTATCTACGGCTGAATTACCAGCAGCTTTCAACGTTAGCATCAAAACAGTATTGGTTCATTTGCGTCAAATTGGCAAGGTAAAAAGCTTGACAAATGGGTACCTCACCAACGCAATGATCTTCAGCGCGAAATACGCGTGCCTTGCATTGCTCAACAGGCATACAAATGAAGGAATTTGTGAAGCTCATTGTTACGTGAGGGCTGTAGTAATACATATTATTTTTATTCGTTTTGGAGGTGTATCGCTCATTTCGGTTATGCCTTATACATTAAGATACATGCGTGTAAGTAATACATAAAAGTTAATATAAGTACTCCTTTTCTTTTCCTTCTCTTTTCTTGTATGTGATTTGTTTGTGCGCGTGTATATTAACCTACTATAATTTGTAATAAATCTATTAATTTATAACACGATCAAGATTTACACTGTTCATTATAGAGATTGTTGCAGTTACTTTGAAATGTCACAAGTCAAAGACAATAAATTTACGAGCATTACCTTGTATCATACACATCTATGAGCATTACGAATATATACTTTACTCTTTGCATTATGTGTTGTTTTTTATGGAGTTATTAATTGATTTTTATGGAGTTTTAGTTTTTTATAATAATTTTATTTTTATATTAGCGTTTATCTTTTTGATTGCTATTTATTTTGTCGTTTATCTTATTGATTTTATTTTTATAATACTACAATGTCATTACCCTGGTACGTTCCTTTGGAAAAAGCGCCTAGTCTGAAGGATGCAGATATAAATGAACAGCCGTCTTTACTGAAACATTATTCTAACCTTAAAATACACGAATCTCCCATTGAAGAGATACAAAGCGGATTGATGTGTGACATAGGTATGATGAATCGAGATGTAACTGTTATACAAAGACTTATAGCGTGTGGTATGACTATAGCCAAATTAGAGTTAGTAGGTTTAGAATCTGATGATTGCGCACAATTGATTCAAAGTATAAGACAAGCTGTATACAACTACAGTACGGATCTTAACTACATTTATCCACTCGCTCTTTTAATGAGTATCCAAGGACCTACTATTGAAACGGGTGAATTGAAAGACGGCCCTAAATCTGTAATTGAAATTCATAAAAATAAGACTATCAGATTGAGTACAGAACCCAGATGGAAAAATAGTGGAACATGTGAATGTCTATACGTAAGGTACGATCATTTAACGAAGTTACATCCCAGTGACAAAATTTTCATTGACAGTGTAGCTCCTGGAGAAAAAATTCAACTGTCTGTATTAGAAGTCGGTGAATGTTCTGTAGAATGTCGTGTCAATATTGGTGGTTTGATTGGTTCAAAAATGGCTGTTAGAATTCCAAAAGTTCCAGAACATTGCCATTCAATCAATGACGAGGGCGATAGTACGAGTATTTATACAATAACAAGTAATGAAAGTTCTGAAAAACCAATTGAACAAAAAGATCAAATAGCATGGGCTGTTGCTTCTGATATAGATGCTCTATTAATACCAAGATGTCAATATTCTAGTGATGTGCGTCTTTTCAAAGAATTATTATCAGAAAATGGTAAACATATTCTCATTTTTGCTAGTGTAGAAACTGTACGAGGTTTAGATAATATTGATGACATACTTAAAGAAGCTGATGGAATATTTCTTGATCGTAATAACCTCAGCACCGATTTACCAATTGAGAAAATTTTTATTGCTCAAAAAATGATTCTAGCAAAATGTAATTTAATTGGTAAACCATGCATTTGCAAAGCTGTTATAAATGAACACATACCTACGTTATGCGTCAGTGATATTGCCAATCTCATAATCGATGGTGCAGATGTAATTTACTTGGAACTTAATTTTTCTGATTCTCCTTTAAAGAAACTTCGGCCATCTCATGATTCTAACCGAATTGCAACACATTGTTTAGCGGCTGCGTCTGTGATTTGTAAAGAAGCGGAACATATATTATGGAAGCCAAGTATATACGGTAATTTAGAATTAATGCAAAGTCCTCTCAACGAGCCATCGAAAGGGATCTGCGTTAGTGCAGTTGAGCTTGCGATGCGTTCGCGAGCATCAGTTATTCTATGCATGACCAATTCTGGGCGAACAGCGAAAATTCTCTCGTACGTAAAGCCACCTTGCCCAATAGTAGCGGTTACGAGAACATGTCATGCTGCGAGACAATTAAGATTTTGGCGAGGTGTACGTGCAGTCCATTGTTTCGATGAGGTAAAAAGCAATTGGAATTCTGAAGTAGAAGCAAGAATTCTAGTTGCGATTGACTATTGTAAAGCCAAGCGCATTTTATGCGCCGGTGACCCTTATGTCGTTGTAACTGGTACTCGGCGCGGAGTTGGATATTGTGATTCTATAAGACTTCTTTATGCGAGTGCAAGAAATATGGTCATCGTAGAATAGTTTTGTACTGCCAGATGGAATTTATAAAAATTTTCTATATTTCTATATGTAGCATAGTTTTTATGAATTACTTATTATACTACCAATCATATGTACTGTAACGGACTGTAAATATTTTATACATTGACATTGAAAATAAATTTGTACTTCTAAATATTTATAAATTATTTAGACAAACATCTTAATTGGCAAAAGGAATATTGTGCAAATTAATATTTTATATAATTGTTTACCGATTTGATAGTTCCGTTAATTTATTTTAATTAGCAGTATTATCAGGTCCACAACGATATAGATAATTTTAATAATGATACAATTTAATGTATTTTGAATTTAGCTTTAGGCATTTTATTTCAGCCATTCAGTAATTAATAATTACAAATGCGCAAGACAGAGTATGAATTTGGGGGAAACAACCATGGGAATTTTGGGACGAAATTTTTGCCTCAGACAGACTTAAGATTTTTGAAGGTACACTTAGCAAAAGGATAACTTTTTTGAATGGAAAATGTTTTATTTTTATTTTTTAGAGGAGTGAATTTATTCCATTTAATCTTTTGGACAATTCAATGATGTTAATAGTCTTTAATGGTAAAATTAATACGGACGATAACAAGGTGTATTGATAATGACCTTGTGTTAAGACCTCTGTGCTGAGTGACATAAACATCAGATCCAAGTTTCGATTCCCGGCTGGGTCAATATAGTAAATTAACTTCGCTATAATATCTCATAACTAGTTAGTTCTGTCTTTCAAAACACAAGGCTTTAAGTTATTTAACTGAGCATTGTATGTGATGTTGTTTACTTGCTACTAATATCATTAATGTGAGACTTTATGAGAATGTAAGTTTGCTAGTCTCTTACGCAAAAACTACTGAATGAATTTTAATGAAATTTGGTATACGGAATAGTGAATGAATTCATATAGATGCTACTTGTTATCTCACTAAACGATTCCCTAGGGATGAATATAATGTCAAGTCGTCGTGTAAATCACCCGGGCAAAAATTGGAAAGCTAATACCATTATAATTTGATTAAAAATATCGATGTACGATGAATCGCTTGTCTAGAGGCTTGCCTCTTGACCTTGGTCAAGAGGTGAATCGAGTGGGCCATGTAAGTGGAATACGAAAATTTTGGAGTGTATTTCAATGTCGTCTCAATTGCTTTCTGATCCCGATTTATTTTATTATAAAAGAAGTAGTCGTAACGTCCTTAAGTCCGCCAAGTAACGTCCTTTTTATACATTGAATATAATTATACAGAGTGAAAAATCTTTGGAAAAATACTTTTCGAACCGTAGCTCATGGTTTTTGTGGGATTTGTTCTCAATTATTTAAAGGACTAGGTTAAATTGAAATCGGCATCATATAATGGTACGAGTTTCACAATTTCATTTCCTTATATATTAGTGTCAATTGGAAATGTCCAATAAAAGAGTTAAATGGTAACTGCAATAGACGGGTTTCACTAAGTTTTTATAACATTTCGTGATCATCCAAATCGTCATTTGCTCTGGAAGCGATTATGAGTTTAAACATTAAATATTTCCACAAATCGCTATCACAATAGCCATACTTATGAAATTATTAAGAAGATTGTGATAACAGTTTAATTTTGAAATGTATGTAATCAAAAGAAAGCATACTTCCTTGGTTTGGAGCCTGTAAAATTGGAGAAACTTGTTTTTAGTTGATACTAATTCATCGATCTATCTGTGGCCTAATTTTCTTATTTCAACATTTATCCCTATCACTTTCAAATGTGGTGTTTCATTGGTGATAGTGCAACGTTGTTCTATTTAATGATAAAACAGTAAATTAATGTTTACGTGTCTCCGTATAAATTATAAATTGTTTGTCATTATTTACAAACTGCAAATAAATTAAAATAAATAATAATCTTAAAACTATGTTAATTGTTAATGAAAACTTAATAACTACTAAAGAATAAATAATTATTCGTTTTAAAAATTACTTAAAACCTAACTATATACAAATTAAATATTTAGAAACAAACAGATCGCACGCAGATGTAATATATATATACAGCGATGTTGGCGCGGGCGCTGGTAGCTAAAAAAACGATAACAAGTCGACCGCCGCTCGTGCCTGTTGCAAACTACACTTACAAATGAATCTCGTTTGAAAACAGCTGTGTAACGCTTTTAAAAAAAATAGTTTATTTGATTCTATTATTACCTTTTTATATGTTCTGTGATTACTTACATTGAAGACATATATTTTTATTTTAAATAAATATAAAAAAAAAGGTTTTTTAATAAATATAAGAAACACTTATAAGTGTAGTGCTAGAATATAATCCCGTACTGGGAACTCCGTACGGATTAAGAAAACCACAGCTTTACTTTACTTATACAAGTAGTGAAATTTGAGAACTGGAGAAGTTGTGGAGGTCATAAAGGGGCATAAAGTGAAGTCCGGCTCACCCTTAGAATACACAGGAGTACAGGGAAGTTCTATTAAGTGATCTACCATCAGACCTATAAGAAACCTACCCACGACTCTAGGGACCTTGGCCTTGATTACTTATTGTAAATAAATAATATTTTTTTTAATACCGATTTTTTCTTTATTACCTAATAAGAAAAAAACGTGTCAATAGCGATTTATGGAATTGTGTAACGATTAAGTCGCAATGGCTTTTGGAACGATGATAACAATTATCAAACAATTTAATTAATATTTCCGTCTAACGGTCAGCTTAGACAATTTTAATGAAAGTCAAAGTATCAATATCTTTTATTACATGTCAAATATTATCACATGTCAAATATTTTTAGCGGGAAGTTCATGTATATCTTTCGTATGTCAAGTTAAAAGGGATTGAATAGATTTTAAAGAAGAAGATAAAGCAAGAGGCCTCCGTTTAATATGTACATTGTAGTTACAATGGTGTTGTAAGTACGCGGAGAAGCTCTTATATAAATATTTACTCGGTCCCTTAATTATCGATCGGATAGTTCCTAACATGTCGAACCTTTTACAAACTGTTTCACATTAAACCAAAATCACTGATCTATTGTTCGACCGTGACTGAGAGCTTCGCTACCGGACTCTAGGCCTCCATCTTTGAGGTCCCGGGTTCGATTGCCATGGCCTACTTATCCAAATTCATAATCTATAGAAATTTCTTTCAAAGATAGCGGCTGTGATAGCAATTTATGAAATCGTGCAAAGTTTAAAGTCGCAACCATTTCCGGAACGAATGATAATTTGAAGCGTGAATATCTTTTAAATTTCAAATTGAAAGAGATTACGAATGATTTTAAAAATTAGACCATGGGATGTTTACTAATTTTTTTTTGTCCGTCGGCTAAATTATCATAGAATATTAAAAACGTTTTTTTGAGGAATCCATAAGGATAGCCAAATTCCCTACAGTGAGGATGTAAAAGGGCTGATAATAATGATGATAACTTACTTCGCTAATATATACATTTTTTTCATTAAACAATATCACATACATTGCTCGGACTCCAACATATGTAAATACTAGCGAAAGCCCTCGTGTTATGGAGTATCTGATACAGTGAAGATAATACAATATCCAGACCTGAGACAATATAGAAAATATCATTTTCTGCATTGATTCGACCGGGAATCAAACCTGGGATCTCAGAGATAGCGATACCTTGAAACCAGTATGCGACTCGGCCGTGTTTATATTGTGAATTTTGTTCCATAGGGGCTGTCCATTAATCACGTGAGGCTCGAAAGGGGGGGGAGGGGTCCATAAAAAAGTCATGAAATATCACAAGGAGGGGGGGGGGGGGTGAAGTAACATATCACGTGTATTCAGTTTTTCGACAAACGCGCGATACTCAACCGAAAAGCGGCGTAAATAAGTGTAATAAAATTATTTTTTCGTCAAACGTTCATTAAATAATAATATTCATAAAGTTTTTCGCATTCCTTTCATTATTTTTGTCAATCAAAAACAACCTGCAAGTCCTGTAATCTTTCTGTCTATCTCTAGACATTATTGTACTCTTTAATTGTCTATAATACAATTAGAAAATTAAGATTCATTGTAAGTACTAAAAATACACGTGATATATGGGGAGGGGGGGGTAGTCTTATACCTCACCATGTATTACTATGGGGGAGGGGAGGTTAAAAAATGCCAAAAAAAACATCACGTGATTAATGGACGGCCCCATACTAGGTAACCAGGTGTCATCTCTCACTGTTTAAACCCTTCCTGGACTACGGTCAACATTTTAAAACCATAATCAGTTGAATCAGCCAATCCGCTCTTGAGCTATAGTGAGGCAAACGAAAAAATATTATATTTATAGATAGACGTATCCGATTTAAGCTTTATCTATCATAATTTGAACTTCTTAGGAATAATCAAGTCTTGAACGTCAGTTGGCAGTTTTTAATGGGTTTGACTTTGACCTACGCCTGTCAATAAACAATTATTGTTTCTTGTAAGCTATAATTCAAGTTTGTAAGCTATCTCCAATAGTAGACATAATACGGGTGCAGACATAATAGTAAACGAAAATAAATACAAACTATAACATTTTGTTTAATTTTATTTAAAACATATAACAATATATCCGGTCCTTACATATTAAATTGGTGTTTGGTATGGGAGGAACAAAAAGTCGAATATTTTTTAATATAATATATTTATTTAATCAAAGTATAAACCATTGTTATCTATGCACTTTTGCCATCTCATAGGTCTTACTAAATCACCATTCGGACGGGAATCAATAAAATCTTTGAAGGCGATTTGCACTGCCCCATCGGAGTTGAATTTTTTCCCTTGCAAGAAGTTATCCAAATTTGGAAAAAATGGTAATCTAATAAAAATGGAGCAAGGTCCGGGGAGTACGGAGGATGTCTTAGACAGTCCAATTGAATTCTCTTCTAATTTGGTAGCCGTCTGTTGTGCAGTGTGTGGTCTAGCGTTGTCGTGAAGTAGCAGTGGCGTAGAGCGATTGACCACACTCGGTTGTTT